ATATATATTGATATTTGTATTTATAAGTCATCAAGGAAAACTAATTTCCAATGGATGAAATGATCAAAATATTAAAGGTAAATTGTTTGGATCTCATTTTTTGTAATGAAATGCTCTATAATAAAAATATATTGAGCTCTCTTTTTGTGGATCAGTTTTAATATTTTTATATTAATAATATCTACTTGGATTACTTACCCACGGAATTTTTTTATTTATGGTATATATATATATATATATATATATATATATATATATATTTGGGTATATAACCTTTCTTTTAAACATGTTTCGTTGAATATGTCAGGCAAGGAACATTTAATAAATTTTTTATTTAATGTTTTCAGTATTTTCACATTTTCCCGTTTGGTGGGAATAATGGAGTGCAAAAATTGTCCGTATTGTCCTTTGTCCCGAACGCTATCGGCCACTACTTTAGCCATTTTCAACTGTCTGTGTTTTCGTGTTTGACAGTGTAAGATGTGGTTTTGTGTTGTTTTGAATACTAGTAGGAACGTTTATTCCGAGCTTCGCGTGTTGAGCGCGGCTGGAATTCAAGTGAGCGTTTCTATTATTTTACAAAAAACTCTATTACCACTGTTGAATAAGGTAAGGTTGATAGTGGGACTAACATGTTTTATATACGGGGCCTCAATACTTAAAGATTTGATACATTATAATTGAGTGAAAATCGTTGTGGATCTGAATGCTGTTTTGTGACTATTTTGTAATGTTGTCTGCTAAAATTTGTTACTCATTATTTATTTTTATTTATTTACTATTTTATTATTTGTTGTTGAATGTCATTATTACGTTTAATTATGTTTTATTCGTGTGTTCGAAGTTCGTTAATTTGTTTATTTTTACTAAATTTATTTACTTATATATTGTTGTGGTGTCCTCCCTCTAAATAATCTATGATGGACTCTTGCGCCTACTATAAGATTAGTAGGAAAGAAAGCCTTGCACAACAGCCGACGAGATTGTTCAAACTGATCGAACACATTCTATGCCTTGAGTAAAGGAACCCGCACGAAAGGAAAATGAATTTAAATTTCGTCCGGGGAGGTAAACAGTCCTTGAACCCGTTTATACCTATTCGAAGGGATATTTTTTTATATCTATATTTCGGAGAGAATAAGATAAAATGTCAATAAACTCGTATAAAATGCCAAATAATTTCAAATGGGGGGCTGTTCGACCAGACTGTACATTTAGGAAAAACTTTAAATATATAATTATTGGAACTCGGATTAAGCTTTGCCGTCATTGGCAAAAATTTCGTCCGATTATATTTAGACAGTCCCTGATCCCTAATTTATTTCAAAGGGAATATCTTTGGCCGAGCCTACGGGCTCTATTAACCTATAAACCGGCCTTGTAATAACATTTTCAAAATATATTAAATATATTTATATAATTAAATATATAAAAGTCGACCAGATTATTCAAATTAAAAAATTTTCTGATTTTGAGCATGTTAGTTAGACAAGTTTCGAATAAATTTAAATACAGGCCCTAAAACCCGTTTATGCTGGTTTCTAAAAATTTAATATTTTTTGGCCAAGCCTACTGGCTCGAAGAACCCACGGTAACCATGGCCTTGTGCCACATACATCCCTTGTGGTGGGGGAGGCTGATAAATATTAACAGTCGACCAGACTGTTCATAACTGTGGAACTCTCTGCCGAGAACCCATGGTAATTTTGGCCTTGTGCCACATACATCCTTCGTTCTGTTAAATATTATCAGTCGAATCGATTAAACGCTGGGTCATCCGACACACCCTCACTCTTCTGTTGTATTTACTGTTTAATAAATGATTATTATCTGCAAAACTTGTTTTGTTATTTCTTTAACCATTTACTTGGTAACAACAGATATTGATTTGGAATGATTTATTTTACTTATTTATTCAATTTTTATTTAATGTTTTTATTTATTCATTTATTTTTTTGTTTTAAATTTTTCGATTTTTAAGCAGCGTAGTAAAATAATTTGAAATTTAAAGTAGTACAATAATGTGAAACGTAACTTTTACTCCCCACCCAATAACCGTTAGAATAATAAAATAGACCTACCCATATTGCACCACTGACCAGCATATATAAATAGTTAAGCCAAAACACAACGCACATAGCCTGAAGATTGTGATTAAGCATAAAACAGACTTGCCCTCCGATGTTGACTTCAATGTCCACTGATCTATCTATCTATCTATATATATATATATATATATATATATATATATATGTGTGTGTGTTGAATATATGTATATAAGTTTGTGTGTGAATATATATATATATATATATATATATATATGTATGTGTTTGTGTGTGTGTGTGGTTTGTGTGTGTGTGTGTGTGTACAATGTATACATCGTAACGCCAGTAATGGATTGAATACGATGCGAATGATTCTGAACATTGTAATTAAAAAAACTCCAAAACTGTAGATTTTACCAAATTTATCAAGACAATTGCAATGGAGCATGTCAATTAAAACATAAATATCTATTATTTGAATTTTTTTAATGTGAACAGACGTGGGTGTTACACTGCAAATTAACCCTTATTTGTTGACGCAATTTTTTAATTAATAATAATATGCTTGTGCCTTGCTTCTTGTCCGGATACAATTTGTGAAGCTTCAGTAGTTAAATTAACTGTTTTTTCTCCACCTTGCTAATGTACAGGTAAATTCGGCAATCCTAACGTCCACTCATTAGAACCCCGTGCAATTCATTATTTGAAAGCCCTTCTGCGAGCATAGATTCACAAACTCCATTTTATGAATGGTAAAGCATATTTGACCAGTGCGTCGCTTTTGAGTTGATCAATATATTTTTTAATATCTTTTTTGGTGGCTCGCTATTTCTGAAAGAAAAAGATATATTTATTGGAAAATTTACCCATATTTTTGAGATGTAATTTGCTTGACATGACTAATTAAGCATAATTAAATGTTTACTTACATTTTTTATAGCCCCTTTCTCTTACCTCCAATTCATCTGATTTCAACATTGAGAAAATAATATTTACTGGAAGCAAGGCGAAAGCATTGTGTTCTAATTTTTTTAATGCAACATTCTGTTTTTCGGTCGTCTGTTGCGTTTGGTTTGGTGTGGTTTATTTTACAGCATATCAACCTCAATGGGTTATTTAATGCCGACAATTTTTATTGCTCCTAATATTTTTTTCCTTCAAAAATCTATTTCTGGTAATATTTTTTTTCAAAAAAATGTATAGCTGGTAATATTTTTTTTTTTTCCCAAAAATGTATCGTTGGTATTCTTTTAAAAAAGTATTGCTTGTAATAATTTTTTTACACATAATTTCTGGTATTAAAACCTATTTTTACACTTACATAATATTTCGACCGAAGTTTGAGGTTTAACTATTCGCACATTCCTGTGACCCTAACAGGTGCTACCACCCAGGGTCAGGGTGGACACTTGAAAACACCAGCAATTAAGAGGTGGATCCACGCTCCTCAAAACCTCCTGATCAGAGGCCTTGCCATTGAATGTAGTTTATCGTCATACCCAGGACGGCTGTCTGGTTCATTTATAGACCTAGTATCACCAAAATTTAAGAGGTGGATCCACGCTCCTCAAAACCTGGTCAAAGGCCTTCCTATTGGATGTAGTTTATCGTCTTACCCAGGACGTGGATGTAGTTTATCGTCATACCCAGAACAGTCGAATGTTGCTTTATTCTCTGCGTCATATACAGTAGCTGCTTTTAAAATTTATTGTCCCTTTTTAATTGCAAACCAACTAACTACATATATTTTGATTATAAATGTTATAAGGCTATACAATAATGTATTCAATGATCACCGGAATAAAATTCCAGCGTACCAATTTAAACTAGTTACCTCAAAAAACGGTAACGATGTGTTTCTGTAATTATTCATCATGTCAAACCCCAACTTTCAAATTGAGTGCAATATCACGGTTTCTAAATCAACCTCTGCCCCAATGTGGAATACGTATTTCACTGGATGTTGCAGAAGATGAAATACTTAAAAGAATTTATTCGAATGACGGAAATCCTCCCAAATTTTCGTAATTCACTTTCCGATCAGTATCTGTCTATCAGCACATAAGCTAGGTCACAAAAATCTCATGAGCCGACCAAGCATAGAAACAAATACAATATGGGAACCAGTAATAAGGAGCGCCACAGAAAAACTATAATAGCAACAAAAATTGCAATATGAGTTCTGGTAAAAAACATGAAATATTAACAACAAAAATTGCAATATAAGCACTGGTAAAAATGGTTGCTGAAGACATTAAGTTTATAATACCCAGAAATTCACGAACAGGAGACATGACACAGTGGATAAAGGCGTTAGTAAGATCCAGTGACAGGACCCAGAGAGTATGAGTTCAATACCCAGTTAAGGCAGTGGAGGACTTAAGAGGGGAATTAATAGGAGATAACTGACATCCATTAAAAACATGGCACGTGGAACTAGAACAGTCTACCCCAGCGAGCGAAATGAAGGGTTCAGTTCGGCATTCCAACTACCTGAAGAAGACCGGAGCGTACAACGGGCGAAATGTTGTTATAAATATGGCGACAAAGATGAGGACAATAGTCCGAATATTGTAAATAGTGTAGTTTCCGATCAGTAATAGAATTTTTCGATTTAGGTTATTTTGTTTTTATTTTTTTATTTCATGTATATTTAGGGTTTCAGAGAATGTATTATTTTACGGCTTATCAAAATTTTGCAGGTTATTTAAGGCCAGAAATTATTTTTAGACTGTAAGAATTTTTTTAGGGGTGAAGGGGGAGATAATAATGATTTACTGATACAACTTCTACTAATTAAACCATAGCTGTGGTGGGGAGAAGAGGTTGATTCATACCTTCCCCAAGGGGGTATCTGCGCGTAAGTAAATAAAGGGAACTCAATGGGAATTGAAACTCGTCTCTATGATTAACAATTCCGAACCATTATCCATTACACCATCCACACATCCAACCCTACAGCATCTGGTATTCCCAAGCGGTCACCCATCTAGGTAATGACCAGTCTTGACGTTGCTTAAATTCGCTGATCGTACGGGAACCGGTGTTTCAACAAAGCCGTAAGAGATAAAGCTACACTATTCGTTACAATACACCGAGAGATGATACGAAGACCGTGTAGCAAGGATTTTTGCTCTCTCCACATCCGGTCATGGGGCTCCTCACTATTTCCGTTCAGGATCAGAGACGCTTCGTGAATCAGCTCCGAGGAAAAATCACCTACTTTATTATAATTATTATTATTATTATCATTATTATTATTGTAGTATCGTATGCTTTTAGATAGACAAGTATAAATAGAGAACAACTAGCGAACATAGGGTGGCTATTCCTAGCAAACCCGGTTGCTATTCAGGACATGGACAACTGTACTACGACTACTACTACTGCGCAGAGAGGTGTGCAAAACATAATTATTATTACTATTACAGCGTATCAAAAGTACTTTCGTTTCTCTGCAGACATTGACTCCAAAGCTTATTACTTGTGCACATATAAAGACTAGAACATACGCTAATGGATTATTAATGTTATTATTTTATGTTAGGGTGTATTAAAAGTATTTTCGTTTTTTTTAACAGACCACTAATTCAACGTTTATTTCATTAATGCAGTTAAATATTACCTATATTCCTATTATTATTATTATTATATTAAGGTCTGTCAAAGTATTTTCGTTTTTTACAAGCCGTTATTTTAAAGCTTATTTGGTGTATATATCTAAAAACGATCCACTCCTTCACTATAACCTTAATATTATTTATATATATTTGGAAGTGTCAAATGTATTCTTGCTTTTTTGACGGACCTTTGACCCAAAGCTTATTTTCATGAACACATCTGAATTCTATCGACGACTACTATATTCTTCTTGTTGTTTTTCTTGTTGTTGTTTTTCTTGTTGTTGTTGTTGTTGTTGTTCTTCTTCTTCTTCTTCTTCTTATTATTATTATTATTATTATTAGCAGGATACTGAAAATTCCATAGTCGGAGCAAGTAAGCAACAAGGAAGTCTTAAAGAAAATGGCAACAGAAAGAACATCTGCTTAGAATCAGGAAGAGAGATGTGAAATTCCTTGAAAAACTTAAACGCCAATTAATCGCGAAATTCAGCGAAAGTCACCCATGAAATAAAAATAATTGTTTGTACGAAAAGTAAGGATCACCGTACATCAAATTGTCTTTAAATTAAGTGGTGGCAAAAGAATTATTGTTTAACTTTAAAAAGGTAAACTTAAATATTAATGCTGCACTTAAATGCTGCGATTAATTTTGAGTTTATTTGTAGTTTATTGTTTCCTATCGCATCTGCCCTCTCCTAGGTATTGTGATGATGGCCCAATCAAGAGCCCTAAGCAGGAGCTAGCTTAAATGCCTCCCCATAGGTCGGCTTTTAATCTAATAATTAAATATAATTTGATTGCATTTTTACGAGACAAACAGATATTTAGATAAAGAGAGAGGGAGACAGAGAAAGAGAGGATTTCACTTGATTTTAATTAAATTCTTTTATATATACAAAGGTATTGAGCGAGACATGTATTATTATTGATTTTGTCAAGTTTGTATTTTAATTTAGTCGATTTACAATCTATGATCGCTAATGAATGAGTAACAATTTCCAATGAGATTTGAACTCGGATTCCATATCTTTGGGAACCTGCCCAACACAGAGAAAAAAACAGAGTAAGTTAAAAAGCCATACTGTTACATTCTTTTTAGAGATTTAATTCGGATTATATTGTTTGTTTATACCGATTAGTAGGCGTAGTAGGGCCGTGATAATTATGTTCATATAGTGTAATGGTTAGTATCCCGGAAATCAGCGAGAGAAGTTCGAATTTCATTTCATTCACTTTCGCACAAATATCGTTATGAAAGGCATGAATTTATCAGTTCTCCCCCTTCCTATGGATTAAAGAAGGACCGACAAGACTAAAGTTCTTTCTTTCTTTCTTTCTTTCTTTCTTTTCTTTCTTTCTTTCTTTCTTATCCTCTTCATGTCGAGTCGTCTTTTCATATCTATCTATCTATCTATCTATCTATCTATCTATCTATCTATCTATCTATCTATCTATCTATCTATTTCATTCTGTTCATTATCTATCTATCTATCTATCTATCTATCTATCTATCTATCTATCTATGCCAACCACTGTAGATTTCTATGCAAGTCAGCATTCACATGTGATTAATATGTTTTAATGATGTGCCTCAGCTGACTAAGATTTCCTTGAGTGCCACTGTGAATTCAATCTGATCGCTCAGTGATTATTTTTCTTTCTAGAACTTGAGTACATTGCCTAAAATAAATGGCTGGCAGGACGAGAATAATATTTATGTTTTATTTAGCAACTTGTAATCAGGCCTCTTCATATACACCCACACATCGACGCACACAACTCTCTTTCCACGCGCACAAAAACACACACATATGTATATACATACATACATACATACATGCATTAGTGTGTGTGTGTGTGTGTGTGTGTGTGGGGGACGGTGTGCTGAAAAGATTTTAACTCAGCCCACTTCCTAAAATCTGACCAAATGATCGAAAATTACAATTTTTTTCTAGTTAATCCCTGTTACAGACGCCTTCTCAGGCACACTTTTATTTGTTCAACACCCACAGAGTCCACCCGTGGTTTATACTGTAACTATTTTGTGTAGACTTTGTTTAAAGTTTTTTGGGAGAGAAACTGTTGATCACATTATATATATATATATATATATATATATATATATATATATATATATATATATATATATATATATTAAAGACTGTTGAATCACGGTTGAAACAGACTCGATGTTTTTTTCTGTTTGTGTGTATTATGCTTGTATGTGTGTTTGTGTTATATACACCGTTCTATACTCGTCAATTTGCTAACGAAAAAATGAACAAATTTCAAATTTAAATCGTTTGTCAGTTTGAAATACTCCACTTATTAGAAAATATGTTCTGTTCAAATAAAGACGGCGTTAAAAAATTATTTAAAGAGCCACCCATTATGGTTTACTCGTTTTTCCTATCATCCAGTGGTTGTTATCAGACAGAATGGAAATTATTACTCACAATACATGTCCATTACGATTTTATTCAAATTGTGTGTGTATACACATTTGCCTATACGCATATATATTTTAATTCAATGACAGACTTTAAAATATTTGTATAAAATAATAAAGGCTTTAAAATAATTTTACTTTTTAATGAATAATTCCCAAAAGACCTCAATCTATATTTCTGAGATGAGGTATTATAACTATTTACACTATTTACATTGTCCTCATCTTTCTTTTCATATGCATGACGTTTCGGTCGTTGTACACTCCGGCCTTCTTCAGCTGATATACGTTAGACTTTTGAACCAAACCCTTTAATTAGTCCTCTGAGGTGTTCTAGTTCCACGTGCCATGCCTTTTCTGGATATTGCAGTTTCAGTTATTTCACTTTAATAACTCGACTCTCCAGTGACTTGACCCAAAGAGTTGAATACCTAGAGGCATAGACAGACTGATATTAACAGAGGCATGGAAAATGTGATATCAATAGAGGCATGGGCAAACTGATATTAATCGTGGCATAAACAAATGATATCAATAGAAGCATAGACAGAGATATCACTAGAAGCATAGCCAATCTAATATCAATAGTGACATGGGAAGATTGATATCAATAGAGGCATAGGCAAATTGATATCAATAGAAACATGAACAGATGATATTAATAGAAGCATAGACAGACTGATATCACTAGAAGCATATCCAAACTGATATCAATAGAGACATGGCAAGATTGATATCAATAGAGGCATAGGCAAATTGATATCAATAGAAGCATGAACAAATGATATCAACAGAAGCATAGACAGAGTGATATCAATACAGGCATGCATAGACTGATATGAATACAGGCATGGGAAAACTGATATTAATCGTGGCATAAACAAATGATATCAATAGAAGCATAGACAAACTGATATCACTAGAGGCATGATATCAATAGAAGCATGGAAAGATTGATATCAACAGAGGCATGGCCAAACTGATATCAATAGAGGAATGAAGAAATTATATCAATAGAATCATAGACAATATGATATCAATATAAGCGTGAAGAAATAATATCAATACAAGCACAGACAGTGTGATATCAATACAGGCAAGAAGAAATGATATCAATAGAAGCTTAGACAGAATCATATTACTAGAGGTATAGACAAACTGATATCAATATAGGCATGGAAAGATTAATATCAGTAGAGCCATAGGCAAACTGATATCAATAGAGACATGAACAAATGATATCAATAGAAGCATAGACAGACTCATATCCCTAGAGGCATGATATCAATAGAGGCATGGAAAGATATATATCAATAGCGCCACGACCAAACTGATATCAATAGAGGCATAAAGAAATAATATCAATAGAATCATAGACAGTATGATATCAATATAAGCGTGAAGAAATAATATCAATAGAAGCACAGACAGTGTGATATCAATAGAAGGCATGAATAAATGATATCAATAGAAGCATACACAGAATTATATCACTAGAGGTATAGACAAACTGATATCAATATAGGCATGGAAAGATTGATATCACTACACGCATGGGCAAACTGATATCCACAGAGACAGGAACAAATGATATCACTAGATAAACTGACATTACCAGGGGCAATATAACAATAGACAGAAGCAGTGTGAAATAATTATCGATAACAACGTAAAGTCCTCTCATTGAAAGCAACAACAAAAAAAAAAAAAAGAAAAAAAAAGGGAAATGCAGAATATTTTTTTTATTTATTTAGTTTTATTTCACAGCCATACACGCATGGAAGTGACGATGTGACGGACAATTAAATTGTTGAAAATTTTTTTGCTTTCTTTCTTTCTTTTTGGCTTCAAATTTATGATTTTATTGCTGAACACAGGTTACGGTTTGTCCAGTCTCAGTGCGAGACAAACGTTTTATTCCAATGACTGACTTCAGACTCAGTCGTATTGTGTGTGTGTGTGTGTGTGTGTGTGTATGGTACTATGCCTGCGCGTGCGTGTATATAATATGACACACCCACATGTTAGTTACACTTTCACAACAGACAGACGCATACACACACACACATACACACATATATATATATATGTATATATAATTTCCATCTCAAAACTAGACACTTAAAAGCGGAAAAAATAAAAAAAATGTTAAACGATTTTTTAAAAGACACTCATTTTCTTTCTCTTTTAGTCCTGAGCAATGCCAGCTTGAGAAAAATGATATAAGATTTAATTTTTTTAAACGCTCACAAATGCAAACACACACATATTTTTCGTTATCCATCTGATGAAGCCGTCGGACGTGAAATGGATTTTCATGAACGTTTTTCCAAATGTCAATAACACTGTCGGAATTACATACCCAAATTTATTACACACACACACACACACACACACACACACACACACACACACATATATATATACATATATATATGTGTGTGTGTGTGCGTTCGTATATAATACCATCTTTCAGTGAACCAAATTAATCATATATATATATATATATATATATATATATATATATATATATATATATGCCTCTCTCTATCTTTTTTTTTACAAATACTTTCATGGTAACTGCTCCGAGGAGCTGCTTTCACTGGTTCCCAGACTTCATGAATTTAAGCGCTCAACTAGGCTGGCATCTCGCTTTCACCTTTTCACTGTCGAAACTGTTAAATGTAACCATCTCTTCTACTCCGATAGTTTCATATCTCGCACTTCTCGCCTGTGGAACTCTCTCCCCTCTTCCTGTTTCCCTGATAGCTATAATCTCCAACTATTCAAATGTAATGTCAATCGACGTTTCCAGATGCCTTGATCTGTCCCCCTATCCTTCTCTTCATCCTTTCCTCTATCACTCATCTTTTCTCTCGCACCAACTCTCTGTAACCTCTTGCGTGCTAGTGGCTTCCCGCCTTGCTTGGGGGTGAAACGTTATATATATATATATATATATATATATATATATATATATATATATATATATATGGTGGACTCTCCGTCGTATTAAACGTATGAGGATCAAAGAGCAAATGTTTCTAAGAACCGACAGCCAGACACGAGCACATCTGATTTGATTATAGTGGTGGAGGCTTTGTGCAGAACCAAACACACTTTTGAAACGCCGAATACATAGACGTGCCACAAGGTCCGCAAACGTCCCTCCACAGGTTTTGAATTCAGTGTTGTCCTTCTCCTAGACCAGTTGCCATCCATGGCTATAGAACCCAGTTTATTCTCTAGCTGGGGTGGGGAGAATAAAAAAAATTCCTACCTTTCCCAAGGGTATAGCACATAAGTGAATGTAATGGATTCGACTGCAATATATATTATATATATATATATATATATATATATATATATATATATATATATATATATATATGTATTTGGGTAATAGATTAGTATTTAAACATATATGATTAAATATATCAGACAATGAATGTATATTATGTCTGATTGTGAGCCGTTCAAATGTTTGCTTTAATTTCGGGTGAAAATAACAACAAAACTTGTCCAACATTTGGATATTTATTTATTAAGTTGGTCCGGAGTTTTCCGCTCATAGGTGCCATCCTCAGAGTGGTATACATAATCCTCACAGTGGTTGTATATAATTAGGAAGAAAAATAGACCTAACACAGATTCAAATGCCGGGATTCATCAAATAAATTGTTTACAATGCAAAAATGTTTATATAGGGGAGACAACACGTGATCTAAAAACCCGCATCTACGAACGTAAGAAGAACTTGCGTTTGGACAGTCGATTTAACTCTGTCGTTTTGCATCAAAATGTTGCTGGACATAACTTTAATTACAATTATACCACCTTAATTAATAAAGAACATAATTCCTTAAGAAAATTCATTGAAAACTTAATAATAACATTATTACATACTATAAAATCACGCCTACATTATATCACATCGCGATCTTTCTTAAAGAATCTAACCTATACATATCTAATAATATATCTATCTAATAATAACATATAACATATCTAATACAAAAAATACATTCTTAAAGAGGAGAGCCATAAATTAGAATCCTGTGACTCCCCGCTGAGCGGGCTGACCGTGCAAGGGTGAAGATAAAACTTCACTAGACAGATACACGCATTCAGTTGCAAATGCACATTAACATCCGATGCCCACTTAGACATACAAGAATCTTCACAAACCTACATACACATCGAATTATCCACGGTTTTAATACACGTCACACGTGTCTGACCAATGAGACTGACCCAAACATAATTGAAAATACCAAACTTCTGTTTCTGCCTTTTTGTCTGTTTTCTCTTAACCTATAAGAGACAAGAGGAAAAACTATATTTAGCCAACGAGTTTCGTTCTCTAAGGGACTTTATCAATGCAATGTGTACCGCACGTGTTTATATACACAGAGCTGAGGATGTAATTGGTTTATCAAGGCTTGTAAATTTGAGAACGTTCATGAATATTCATCAGATGGCCAGACAAATCATGTGGAGGACACAAAGTGTCATAATTCAAAGTCTGGTTAAAAGTGAGTGAGTAATATTTAATAAGTTTTAAAAAATGAATATTGTTTGGATTGTGATTAGATTGTTATGGTATGAGTGGAGGCACGGTGGAGTAATGGATAGCGGCTCGGATTGAGGAATCGGAGAGCCGAGTTCGAATACCCTTGGTTCTAATATACTTGGAAAAGGTATGAATCCTCTTCTTATAGGTAAATTGCAGAAGAGAGCGGGTTCTATAACCTTGGATGGCAACTGGTCTACCGCAGAAAGAAAAGGCAATGCAGGGTAAAAATTGTCTCGTCAGTCATGTATAGAAAGAGGCATGATTGCCTAAGCATGTATCACGCATTGCACATAACTAACTGATGTTGGTTTTACAACAACGTCGACGACAAGAAGGCTTACGTCTCACTTGAATGATCATAGTTCAATAGTGATTAGATTGTTATAGAATGAGGTGGACGTCTGTGCTGTCCAAAGGCTGAAAGTGATGGCTTTAATCTCTTTCTTTTGATTTATCCACATTTTTATTAATTTTTTATTTAGTTTTCCAGCGTTATTTCGTTGTTTTTTCCCGTTTGGTGAGAACAAGGAAGTACAAATATTTTCCATAATGTCCATTGTCCGAAGCGATTTTCGGTCACTTCATTAGCCATTTTTAAAAAGTGGCCGGAAGCGCTTGGGATATTCGACATTTTAAACAATGATTGCTGCCTAAAGATACACTATCTATCTATCTATCTATCTATCTATCTATCTATCTATCTATCTATCTATGTCTTCCTTTATCTTATTATTTTTAATATTCATCTTTTTCTTGTTTATATACTAATAATCTCTTAATTTTTTATTATAATATTAAATTATTTTGTTTAATATTAAAATTAAATAATAGTTTTAATATCAAATTGTTTTTTTTTTATCTACAATCTTTAAAACTCTTTCTTTTCTTAACTTTAATGATTGTATTTTCTTATGTAATGTTTTCCAATTTTAATTTTTTCCTATTTGAACAAGAGTTAACATTTTAAATATATGTCATTGTTAATCTTCAGCCATTTTTAACTTCTGTCTAGACTTGTATATGTTCTGTCTTCCTGCCCCCCTCACTACTTTGGTGTTTCTTTTTCTTTTTTTCTATCTCCCTCTTAAATGTCTTTTCCATTATTTGTGGTTTGTTCCTCTGTTTTCTTCTTTCTTTCTATCCTTTTTAATCTTAAATTAAAAAAAAAACGTTACGATTCATTTTTTTTTCAAACGTTTTACTACTGACAAGCTCCGGAGAATAAATCCCGAGGAGCGAAATGGCCATAAAAATGAGGTACAATTGAGTTTCATTTTTATGTAATTCATTTCTATGGTCTATAATAAATATATTGAGCTCTCTTTTGTGGATCAGTTTTAACATTTTATATTAATAGGATTCACTTGGATTACTTACCCATGGATCTTAATATATATATATATATATATATATATATATATGGATGAATGAGTGTACATGGTAATTGTTCTGATGATCTTTCCTTTATAGTACCTAGACTTTCTGAATTTAAGCGCAAGTACTCGATTGGTAGCTTGGTCTCATTATTTTGCACTTCTAGCCGTAAGTTCTATGCTAATAGTTTCTTCTTTAACAATTCTCAATTCTCGCTTGCGGAATATTCTTCCATTTAACTTTGATTTTAAAAAAGTTATTTTCTGTCAAGAAGATATAATGTTTTTTCGTTCTTTCTCACTCAGTAACCCCTTACTGGCTTTATTTCCTGGCTTATGATGAAATGATTAAAAAACATGAAAGAAAATAGATATATATATATAGAATGACAGATAGATTGATAGATCATTAGACAGAGAGCGTGAGAGCTGTATATATACGCGCATCTATGAGCATGCATCAATAAGGGTCAATTTTTAAATAAATAAACATAAATTCAGAATATAGGTCAGACATACACATGTGAGATTTTTTTCTTGTAGTTGCATATGAATTTCTCCGGACTTATCATTGATTCTTACGTCATAATTTCAATATTAATGTTCGCAAAACACACAAAGAACAAGCTGTTTGGTCAGGTTGCCTGCAATATTTTTCTAACAAACTCACGGAAGCTAATGGAGGAGAATTAGGTGCGTCAAGTAAGTAGCCATTTTTCCTCTCAATGTTGTCTCCTCTTTCTTTTTCTTCCTTTTTTTCACAAAAGAGCGACACACATCGCAAGTAAACTGTCGCTTACTCCACACCCTATCACTCTTTACCCGCTCTGAACAAGTTTTGCGTCTTGACTTTTTTCATATGCTACATTCCTTCAGGATGTGATCGATCATAACTCTGTGAACTTCTTATCGTAAGTCTGTCTCCCTGTATCTTTTCTATAAATACTGTTATATTGGTGTGAGTTCGTTTCAAACATCTTCGTCGGAACTGTTATGTTCCGTGTTAAGGGAATAAATAAGTAACATCAGGTTGATAATAGAAGAAAGGTTCATTGTACACAGCAAATACAATAAGAAATACGATACAGTTATACACACAGGTCACTTTAGTAGTGAGTGCCACTAATTGGAAGGTCGGACGTGCTTGCGTCGTTTCTCTCACTCGTCCTCCTCTCTGTCTCTCGTAGACTGTTGACTTTATAGGTACTTATTACCTATTGTGCCATAACTCATGGGGGTGATTGGTTATTCCATTACATTAAATACTTTCATGGAAATAGTTCGGATGAGCTCTTTGCTATGGTACCTAGACTTTTTGAATTTAAACTGGACGGGTGTCGAGATCTCATCAATTTACACTTAAGCTGGCGAGATGCAACCGTAAATTCTATGCTAACAGTTTCTTTTCTATCACTTCTTGCTTGCTCCCTTGCTTTCCAGCCAACTTTCATCTGCAAAAATTTAAATGCGATGTCAATCGCTATCTACAGATCTCTTGATACTCTTTTCTCTTATTGATAATGACTCTATTTCTAATTCTTCCACACCCAGTAGCCCCTTGTGTCTTAGTGACTGCACTGTCTTGTTTGGGGTGAAAGCGATTAACAAAAAAAGAACAAAAAAAAACAAAAATCTCTAAGTAATGTTTGTCCCCTTACTGTCGTCCCAGTCCTTGTTTTACCATTCTTTTAGGCACCCCCCCACAACTAAAACATCGGCATTACATTGTTAGTAGTTTTAAATAACTTCTCATCTTCCCCCAATGTCTACTAAACATTTTGAATAGATCGAAATGAACTGCGACTTTGTTTTTGGTTTGCTTTGGTTTGGTTTGTTTTACGGCATATCAACACCTCAATGGGTTACTTAATGCCGACAAGATTTTTATTTCTGGGAATATATTTTTTCAACAAACAAATTGCCGGTAATGTATTGCTGGTAAAAAAAATTCTTTTCAAAAATTCATTGCTGGTAATAATTTTTTGCGAAAATATATTGCTGGTATTAAAACCTATTTTTACACTTTCATAGAGTTTTGACCCCAGTTTGGGGGTTAACTATTTGCCTATAGCTGGGACCCTAACAAGTGCTACCACCCCGGGTCAGGATGGACCTATGAACACCAGCACTTAAGAGGTGGTTCCACGCTCCTCAAAACCTACTGATTTGAGGCCATGCTATTGGATGTATTTTATCGTCTTACCCAGGACGCTTGGGTTCTGTTTTTCTTGTTACTAGTAACTCAATGTTCAATGTCAAGGAGAATTTTGCTGTAAAAATTCTTTAACATTAAACACCAGTCTTTTCGATAATTTAGCTGCTGTTTCCTTTTACCTAAAATAGGGAGTTAATGAATGAAGTTAAGGAATAAAAAATTCGGTAGAAAGAACTGAAGATTACAAGTATAAATGAGCTACATAACGAATGACTCTTGACTTGAAAATGTTAAGAGTGTAGTATTCGGGGGAGTATCCACGTAGGAGTTCTCGGGGAAAAAACTGAGTGGAACTTCAACCTTACAAGTATTCGACTCCGTAAGCATAACGTCCTAGTCATAAAGGTCTGTAGGTCTCGAGATATCATCAAATAAATGAGATCATCTGATGATTTTTTTTTTATAGAAATAGCGATCGGGTAGCGTTAAACTTGCAACGATGCATCTGTTGGAAAGAGACGGTGGAGTAGAAAAAGTGGGCGTAAGCGATTTTGAATTCTATCATTCTATTGCTTCTGGTGAATTGCATTCTGATTGATTAAGTGAATAATAATTGTATTATTTGTTATTTATTTATTTTTAAGCAATTCACCCCATGCAAGACGGGAGTGCCACTAGCACGTAAGTGGTTGCAGAGGATTGAGAACAAGAGTAAAGAGGCGTGTTTGAGGAAAGGATACAGAGAAGCACGGGGAACAAGCTAAGGGTGTTAGATATCGATTGACATTACACTTGAATATTTGAAGATTATTGTTATCGGGGAAGCAAATAAGGAGAAGGAAGTTCCACAAACGTGATGTGTGGGAGAAGAAGCTGTTTGAGTAGAAGAGATGGTTACATTTAACCGTTTTGACAGTGAAAGTATGGGACTAAGATACCATCCTGGTAGTTCGCTTAAATTCATGTAGTCTGTGAACTAGCGGAACAGTTGCCGTGAAAATACTTGTAGAAGAGACAGAGGGAAGCCTCGGCACGTCTGTGAGAAAGCGACTGTAGACTAGATGCCAGATCAGGACCTATCGTATTGCATATTCGTCTCTTGATTTTGTCGAGGACATCGAGACATACAACGGCGGCACCAGACCATATATGACAGCAATATTCGATGCAAGGACAGATGGCTAATTTATAGATTTGAAGGATGGACTCAGACGAGAAAAATTTTATGGCACGACATAGATATTTTTTTATCTTTTAGGCACCCTCCCCAACCAAAGAGATTGCATTTACATGCATTGTAGTTTCAAGAAACTTCTCACTTTCTCTAATGCCAACTAAACATTTTGACTTGATCAAAATCAATCGTGGGTTCATTTTTGTCCTCGCTACTGACTCACTGTTTAATGTCAAGGAGAATTTTGCTCTAAAATTTTTTAAGATAAAAATAAACGTTTGAAACTTTTTTTTTGCTTCTAATAGAGGTTGTTCTAACTGATTTGTTATGTCTTTATTCCATTGAATGAAGATAAGACAATCAATCAAGAAATATAAAGTTGCTTGGATCGACGTAGTCTTGCTGAAATCGGTACTAAGTAGATAAGCTGGATCTCTAACTCATCTACTTCTTCTGCTGACGATTCTCAGTCTATATGTATTTGGACAAGTGCAACTATTTTGGGGAGGTGTTTTCATCTCCATAACATGATTAAATGCTTGATTCTCATTTGGATTAGGAGGTGGCTAATATTAGCAAATCTATTAAACCGTATAGACTGGGTTATGTCACCTTGAGTGGGAGAGAGTCTAGGAGAAAAACTACCCTGAATACCAAACTGTGGAGACAGCAACTGGGAACTACTTCAATATATTTCCCAAGAATGCATGACAATTCAGATATAATAAAAAAGGAATCTGATCATTTAAGCATTCCCTATCACATCACAAACAAATCTACTAATGGCTGATAACGACCTTGCTTTCTCTTCCAAGGTCAATGTAGTGATAATGAAATGGGACTGGTCTATGATGACGGTATAGTTATTCATAGGATAAGAATAATCTTGAAAATGAACATCTTCTAACAAGTATTCCAAAAAATAGGACTCAAGATAACCTTTTCAAAAACAGAAATTGTGATCTGGTATTGGAATGGAAGCAGTGGTGATACAAACACTGAATTTATCATAAAGATTCAGAACACGGAATAAGTAAATACTAAACACTTGAAATATCTCGGTATATCGATCGTTTATAACAAATTTAGTATAGAAGATAAGGAAATTGGAAATAGAATAGGCTGTGATAGACGTAGTTTAAGTGGCCATCTAAGTCATCAATGTTTTCCGGGCTCATTTAAAAAAATATATACTATTGGTATAACTTAAATGCTAAAATGATTCCTTTACTCTAACTAAAATGTATAACAAAAAAAAAATGTCTAGCCAAATATGTTTTTTAAAATAATGTGTGTATCTATCTCGAGTGTGTGTTAGTATATATATCTTTGCGTTAGTGTGTTTATGTATCACTCTGTCTATGAATTTTTAGTTTAATTTCTTGTATGTTTATGATCACTACTGCTGACTGATATCATATTTCCTCAGCACTACTCCAGTCGCACTC